GTCAAATAAAAAAAAATAAAAATTATAAACGTCACAACCATTAAAAACTCATCTTTCAAAAACAAAAAAAAAAAAAAAAAAAATCATTCGAAACTTTCGAAAAAGTTACCGAAATAAAAAAAAAATAAAAAAAAAAAAAATAAGCCAAATGGAAAAATAATTTTTTTTTTCTCCCACCCTCTCACCCTCTATCTCACTCTCTCACTTTCATTCTTTCTCTCGCTAAGCTGAAAAAAAAAAGAAGAACAAATGGAATTTTCTAGAAAGAAATTCCAGAAAACCGGAATAAAAATATCATTTACGAAATAGATATATATTTGGATGAAATTCAAGTAGGTTTGATTAATCTATATAATGAATCTTTCAAGAATTTTTATTTCAAAATTATTTCATTCAACCGACTCTCGAACACAACAAATATCGTTCGATCGTTCGATATATTTATCTATACAATTTTCAAATTATTTATAATTTTTTTTTCGCCCCTCCTCCCATTTTCCCACACACAAAAAAAAAACCTTCATTTATAACCGTCTCTCCTATTTCCTCCTACTTTATCCCTGTCGTTTTCCACTTTAACATTTCTCTCTCTCTATATATATTTCTGTCTATCTCTTTCTACTATTTCCTTTCTGACCTTTTTTCGACCTCGTTAATGTAAAAAAAAAAGGGAAAAAATTTAATCGGTTCCCCCTCCCCCTAACCCCGCCATTTTATTGTACTTAATATTTGATTCGATCGTAAAAAAAAAAAAATTTTTTTTATTTCGTTTTTTCTGAGAACAAAAAATAAAAATAGTGGTTACAGACGTTCGTTATATTAATATTGACTGATTCCACGTCAATCGCGCATGTATTTACGCACAAATAAAAAATTTATTATTATTATTATTATTATAAATTTAGTCGTGAGAAAATCGATAATAATAGTTTTTTTAAACTTTTTAAAAAATAAAAACGTCTTATTAAATTTTTACTCTTCCGGTAAATTTTTTAATAAGAAAATATTATTATTATCATTATTATTATTATTATTATTATCATCATCGTCGTTTCCATCCAAAAAAAAAAAATTTACGTTTCAATTAATTCTCATGCGAATAAATAATAAAAATGAAACTTGAATAAATAAAAATAGAGAAAATTTATTTTAAATTAATCAACGTAAATTTTCTTTTTATTTTTTTTATAGGTGCGCGCGTGCGCGTGTGCACGTGCGGGTGCGTGCGTGCGCAACAAATTAAAGTAAGGAAAAAGAAAAGGAAAAAATATATATTAAATTAAAATAAAATTTAATCAATTGAAATTCGCGAATAATTTAAATATATATATATTCGATTCGACGAATAAATAAAAACAACTAACTACGTTTTCCGTTTTTTAATTCTGGAAACATTTATTACGCGTAAATTATTATCATTATTATTATCATTATTATTATTATTCTCAACGGTTTTTTATGTTATTTTATTCGTGATTTTTTTTTTCCTTTTTTTCTTCTACCTTTTCTTCGTCTCGTATTTATGTGAAAACATAAAAAAAAACTTTTTATTTTACGTTTTTAAATCAAACTTTGGAGAATTTAACTGGAAATAAAATCTTTTTTTTTTTTTTTTTAACATCCGTTGTAAAAATAATTCATTTTTCTTCTTCTTCTTCTTCTCTTCATGTTTACTTAGAAATTCATGGAATAAAAATAATAATAATAATTTTCTTTTTATTTTTCCAGGATTTTAAAACAAAGCGGGAAAAACTGAAAATCAAATCTAGAAATGATGACTTACTTAATAATTATTATTATTGTTATTACTACACGTTGAAGAAAAACTAATTTTCATCCCCTCCCCTCCCTCTCCTCCATCACCTCCCTTCGGCGATATACATTTAGAAAATCATAATTATTATTATTATTATTATTACTTTTTTATTATACGTGTAATAAATTTTGTGACCGTTTTTAAAATTTTCCGTTAACTACTTTTTTTCACGAACATAGAATTCTGGATAAAATAACTTATCGGATAAACCAATCAAAATTAAACACGTAATAAATTTCGACGAATCATATTTTAATCGATTAATTATCAACCAATCAAATTAAAATCAAATAAGTAAATTTTAACCAATCAAAATCGTGAATTTATTTTTAAACCTTAACCTAAACGTTCGTTTTTCTTTTTCGCTACGTTAAACGTTTTCTTTTCTTTCCTTTTTTTTTTTATTTTACCGTTCGAGCCGGAAAATCGTTCAGAATATAAAAGAAAAATGGCGTGTTTTCACGATGCAACAACACCGAAATCAAACATTAAATATTTGTTAATAAATAAATAAAAAGTTATTTTACAGAAAAAAAAAATCATACGAATCCAAAACAAACAAGTTAAAAAGAAGAAAAATGGCGAATGTGAAAAAAAAAAAAAACAAATCATTAGATTTGTTTGTTTGTTTGTTTGTTTAAAAAAAAAAAAAACAACATAAAAACAATAAATAATGTTTGTTTAATGTTTTTCTAACCGTGTTTAATATTTTTCATAAACAGCATGAAATTTGTCTTATTTATGTTTTTTAAAGTTGAGGCTTTTATTTTATCCGCTTGAGAACCACCTTTTCATCCGGTTTTTCCTTTCCGCCCATTTAACAAGAAAATATTGTAATGAGAAGACAGAAAGAAAGAATAAGAGAAAGAGAGAGAGAGATAGATAGACTAAAATTTTCTTTTCCGTTTTCACGCATGTAAGCTTCTTTTTTTTTTAATATATATATATATATATATATATATATATATATATATAATATAACAAAAGAATATATTTGTTTAAAAAAAAAAAAAATAAAGAAAAGGAAAATAGTAGGAAAACATAAGCAGTAAGCAGTACGGCAGGGAACAGTAGTTGTTGTTTATTCATTTTTTATTCTTTTGTAATGGAAAAAAACATAAAACATAACAACAAAAAAAAACATTACAGGAAATATACTTTAAAAATTAAAATACAAAAAAAAAAAAAAAAAGAAATTATGTTTTCCTTTTTTTTTTTCTTTCTTTTTTTTTTCTCTCTCCTCTCTTCCCCCTTTTCGCTCCTTCCTCTTCCACCTCCTCTAGTAATAATAATAATAATAATAATAATAATAATAATAATAATAATAATAATAATAATAATAATATTTCCTTAAAACTTAAATTTAATTAAAATATTTTTCGTTTAGATGAAATTTTATCTACTTTTTCAGGTGCAATTTTTAATTAACGCAAATTTCTTTCTCTCTCTCTCTTTTCCCCTACCATTTTTCACCTTTAATTTTTTCTATTCTCTCTCTCTTTCTCTCTTATTCCGCTATTAAGTTACTCCGTTTACATCAAAAAAAAAAAAAAATAAAATATTCGTTTAAATCCGGTATTAATAACAAGGGTTAAAAATATATTTTTTTAAAATTTATATAATGTTGTTTTTTTTTCTAGGAGTTTTACAAAATGTTTTCGAGCTTCAAAAAAAAAAAAAAAATGTGAGGTAGGGGGAGGGAATTTAAAGGCAAAGCGAGGGTGGTTGCGGCAGCGGCAACGTGGAAGAAGAAAAAGAAAATAAGAAAAAAAATAAAAACCGCGTTAAATTTTACCCTTAAGAATTCTTTAAACGAAAATTATTGCTTCGAGTTAAATTCTTCTTCTTTTACTTTTTCATCTTCTTCTTAAAAAAAAAAAAAAAAAAAACAACAACTTTTAATGTGAGAGAAGAAAAGAAAACCTTTCGTTTATCCGTATACAAATATATATATACATATATATTTAACATTAATAAAACAAACGAACAAACAAACAAACAAGCAAATAAACAAACGTAAATAAAAACGTATAAAAAAATTTTTTTTTATTTCTTTCTTTCTTTGTAAGAAAAAAAAAAAAAACTTGGGACTCGTTCACTTATATTTTTATTATGATTTACTATTATTATTATTATTATTATCGGAATAATTTGTACAAATTATTATTATTATCATCATTCAAACGGAAATAAATAACAATTACGTTTGTTAAACCGACGTGACAAAAAAAATTGCTTTTTTTTTATTTATTTATTTATTCTCTTCTCCTTATAAATCTTCGTCTTTTTTTTATTATTTAAATTTATTTTTTCGTTTTCTTATCTGTACGTACAAACAGTGATAACAACCAGTGATTATTCTAGAATTTTTTCAACTGATAATAGGTAAACGAAACAAAACAAAAACAAAAACGAGAAAAAAAAAAATTTTTTTCTTCTTCATTTCAGTTTTATTTTATTTCAATTAACATTCTCATCATCATCATTATCATCATCATCATCATCATCATCATTAACATCATCATTATCATCATCATCACCGTCATCGCCATTGTTTCCTTTGCACATCCAAATCATTAACTTATTTATTTTTATGAAAAGTTTTACTCGATTAAATATTAACTAATCGTCTGTCTTTATTTTATTTATATAAAACCCACTTCAGGCCAAAAAGCCCCACCCCCATTGCCGAACCATCATTTGAAATTATTATTATTATTATTATTACTATTCTTATTATCATCATCACAACATTCGTTTTCGTTATGTTTTAAACGTTGGCAAAACTTTGAAATTTTGAAATTTAGAAAAAAAAAAAAAAAAACAGTTTTAATAGGAATAATTAAATTGCTGCAGTGAAAATAGTTAAAAGTTTTTTTTTTTTAGTTTTTGGTTATGACGTTTCTGCGTTTGTTGTTGTTGTTGTCGTTATGGCGTAAATTAATAAAATAATAATAATAATAATAATAATAATAATTGAATGCGTTATTTGAAGAAAAAAAATTTTGATTTTCTTTAATAAGAAAATTATCTCATTTCCGGTTTAAAACTATTGAAATCCCATTAAAAAATGTGTTTGCTCGAACAAACAATCGATGTGCGGGAGGGAGAGGGAAAAACATCGGAAAAATTTTTTTACTTTATTTTTTAAAAATTTAAAATTTGATGTTCGATTTGCAAATTTTTACTGCGCAGAATCTGGAAAATTCCAAAAAAAAAAAAAAAAAAAAAAAAAAAAAAACCTTTTTCAGCCAAACGTTACGAATTGAAAATGTTCCTCGAGGTTATAAATATTTTCAAAGTTATTTATACGGAATAATTTACCTGATATAAACAACAGGAGCAAAAGCAGAAGAAAAAAAATAAAATATTATTATAAGAAAAAAACACTTTCCAAAAAATTTTTTCCCTTATCTCCTCCTCTCCCCCTCCCTTTTACACCCTTCCCGAAAAAAAAAAATTCAATAGAATAAAAAAAAAAACGAAAAAGAAAATTATCTCCGAAGGTCTTTTAGAAAAAAAAAAATAAAAAAAAAAATACAAACAAACAAACAAAAAATTTCAGAATGATATAGATTCGTAACCAAACAATCGACAACCCAAAACAAACAAACAAAACAAACTTATTGAAAAATGTCCGTTTGTTACAAAAAAAAAATATTATGAAAATTAAATCTTTTTTTTTGCAGACTCAAAAAGTACGCGTATAATTTTACATTTCCGGTTTTCAAAAATTTTCCTTTTCTCCCTTACTCTCTCCCCTCTTCCTCTCCCTCTTCCCCGCTCTCTCATCGGTAAAAAAAAAAAAAAATTTAACCTGAAATCAACCAGTGAATTTTTCGAAATTAATTTCGACTACAAGTTCGTGTGCTCCCCCCTCCGCCCCTTTTTGTTTTGTTTTTCGTTTTCCCCCCCAAAAAAAAAAAAGAAAATTCGATTTGATTTAAATATTTTTTGCGTGATACAAATGATAACGATGATAATAATAATAATGATAAAAACTTAAACGATAGTTTAAATGATAATAAAGAAAAAGAAAAAAGAAAAAAGAGAGGAAAATTGTTATTTCATATATTTCTAACTGTCAAAACGTTATCCGGTATTTTTTCTTTACGTTTAATTAATAATAATTTTTTTTTATTTTTCCTTATAAATTTTCTTATTTTGTTTTTTTTTTTCTTTCGCGTTAATTTATTATTATTATTATTATTATTATTATTATTATTATTACCATTAGCATTAGCATTATTATTATTATTAGTATTAGTATTATTATTTTTATTATTATTATTAGTTTTTTTTTTAATTTTTTTCTTACGTAAATAAATATTTTCCTTTTCCGTTTTATCATTTTTTATCCACGACGTGATTTTATCACCATCACCACCACCACCACCATCACAATCACCGTCACCATCACCATCACCATCACCCTCATCGTCATCGTCGTCATCACCGTCATCGTCATCGTCATCATCGTCGTCGTCATCGTCGTCGTCCACATCATCATCATTACCAACTAAATTACTACCAACTAAATTTTTTTTTTCATCGTATTTAATAACACAATTGTCGTTGATGAATATATTCATGACGTCATCGTTAACGAGAATCTCATCTTCGTCTTCATCGTCTGCATCGTCTTCCGAAAATGACGTCACCGTACCACACTCGTCGTTTTTATTCAAATACGCATCCCGAATGAAAATTGCATTTACCATGTTTTCGTATTTGCGATAAGACGTTTTCAACAATCTGAGGGATTGTTGTACGTTACCCGTTTCGCAGAGAGCTTTCCACGCGGAATAAGGTTCAAAACCTCGACTCGTTATCTGCAGTAGTTGCAATTGTAATAAATGCAAATGTATATTTTCATCTTCTACCATTTCCAAAGCCGTTTTATATTCCCTTTCGGCTTCCGCATATCTTTTCATTATCGTCAAAACCTCTCCCTTTCTCACGTAACCTTTGACGAAATCCGGAAAATTTTCAATAAGGTATTCGGCATCGGATAATGCATTTTGCAAATCGTAGGTTTGTATGTAACTGCAACAACGATTGTTATAAAGTCTTTTATCGTTCGGATACCTCCAAATGGCCACGTTTATGACTTCAATAGCTTCTCTATGCCTTCCGAAAGTTGCTAATATGTGTGCTCTCGACCCTAATTCTTCAAGATCTCCAATTTTTGGAGTCATGTGATTGATATGGGATTTTTTTTCATAAATTAAACGATAGTCAAATCAATCGATATATATTTATCGATATCGATTAATTCATTCCCAGACACAATAAACAAAAAAAATAAGTAAAAAATAAAAATAAAATAAAAAAAATTTTTTGTATAAGTTTTTGTGTGCGTGTATAAGTGCGTAAGTGTGTGTGTGTGTATGTGTATGTATGTGTGTAAAATATATAAATTAAATTAAGAAACACCATTTATAAAAAAAAAAAAATTGTAAACAATAATAATAATAATAGCAGAAGAGAGAGAGAGAGAGAGAACGACGAAAAAAAAAATGTTTTTTTCTCTCTTCTCATTTAAAAAAAACTTCGAGAACAAACGAAGCTTCGTTAGCGAATCGAATATCGATCGATTTAATTGCGATTTTTTTCTTTATCGTTTTATTTATAAATAAAACAGAAGAAATTATTATCATTCATCTCAACAAAGAGTTTTTTTTTTATAAGGAATAAAAATTTTAAAAAATTTAAATTTTTGGCGGTTTTTACAGGCTGCACACAATTAATTTTATTTTAAAGTTCAAAGCATTAAAATCTTTTTATGTGTGTGTGTCTGTGTGTGTGTGTGTGCGTGTGTGCGTTCGTATTTAAATGAAATTTCTAAAACGTTCTAGATGATGAAAAGATTTTAAAAAGAGTGAGAGAGAAAGAAAGAGGGAAAGAAATTTTCTTTTGATGTTTTCTTTTTTTCTTTTTCTCAGCTTTTTAACAGGTGAATTTAATATAAAAAACTAAAAAGTAATATTTATTTAAAAGTATTAAAATTAAGATTTTAAATTTGAAAACTTTTTCTCAAAAGATTTCATTTATTTATTAAACTGTTTATTTAAATAAATAAATAAATAAACTTACCGTAATTTGATGATGCGGACAATATAAAAATAACGACGAATAAATAAAAATCATTATGGTCCGTTCCGTGTAATCCTCCTCCTCGTCGTCGTCGACGTCTCCCAAATTTCGGTATCAATAAATAATTGATGTTCATCATTTTTTTTTTAATACATTATTGATCGTAAATAATCATCGTAAAATAAAATTTTAAATATTTTTTTTTCCCGCCAAAAAAAAACCGAAAAAATTTTAAAAATTTCTTTTAAAAAATTAACGAATTTTTTGCATTTTTAACTTCAACTTCAACTTCCCCTTCTTCTTTTTTGGATAATCTAAAAAAGAAAAAGAAAAAATATTATTATTAATATTTAAATTATCGAGGAAAGGCAAGAGAGGGAAGAGAGAGAGAGAGAGAGAGAGGGGAGAGAGGGGAGAATGGAGCAAGATAAAGTCTTTCCAAAAAAAAAAAAATTTCCAGTAAAAAAAATAGTTACGACAAAAATGGAGATGATAATAAAAAAAGGAAAAAAAAGAAAAAAAGGAAAACTTTTTACGTTCTATAAATCAGGTAAATTGTTTCCTCTCGAGTGTTTTGTGCGTGCGTGTGTGTGTGCGCGTGTGCGTGAGTGCGTGCAAAAAAAAAAAGTAAAGCTTCTTCTTACGAAAAAAAAAAAAAAGATAAAATGATATTCGGCGGCTTTTTACCATTTTTCTTATTTCATTATTATTACTTTTATGTGCTTTAAAAAGAAGAGAGGAGGGGGGGAATTCGAAGAAATTTCTAGAAGGATAAAAATTTAAAAAAAAAAAAAAAAAACCGGAAAAGTGGAATAGAAAATTAATTTTCGATACACGAACTTTAAAGCAAACAATTTGAAAAAGGTGTCGTTACGTGTCTCGTGGCAAAGTCAAACCTTTCTTGGATGACCTTTCAAAAACCGAGTCAAACTAATAAATCATTCTGGATCAAACCGAGACAACAACAAAAACAACAACAACAACAAAAACAACAAAAACAACACAAACAACACAAACACCAACACCAACAACAACACGTTGAATGAAATTTTAAAAGCACTAAATCATTCGTCGTAAGGTGATGGTAGTGATGGTGGTGGTGTGGGTGGTTAGCTGTTTAAAATTTCATCCTTTACTTTCCTTTGACTAATAATAATAATAATAATAAAAAGGTTTGTTCTTTGATGGAATAAATATTTTCGGACGTTAATAAATAAATAACGAAAACATAAAAAAAAAATAACTCGAGCAATTCATTTCAAACGGAATAATAACCGTAAAAAAAACGTAATAATAATAATGATAATAATAATAATAAAACCTCTCTCTTGTGCCTAACAACAAATGAAAAAGGAATTGTTAAAAGGAAAAGACATAAAGCTCAAACATTTTTCCTTTTCTTTCCTTACTACCTAACTCCATCAACTATACGGCTTTTTTCTTATTTTTTTTTTTTTTTACCATTATCAAATAAATCTGCTAAAGCTATACAACAAAAGTTTTCTCTCTCTCTCTCTCTTTCTCTTTCTCTCTTTGTTCTTTTATATACCTAATTTCAATTCAAAAAAAAAATTTTTTTCTTTTCTCTCTCTTTCTCTTTCTTTTTAAGGATTTTAACTAATAAATAAAAAAAAATAAAATAAAGAAAAAAGAGAAAAAAGAAAACAATGCATGGAAACATTGAGTGAAAGAAGAAGGAAAAAAAAAACATAAAAATAAATGAAGACAAATTTGGGCCGGTAATTTTCTGCTCAACAACAAACAAAAAAAAAAAAGGGAAGAAAAAAGGGGAGAAGAAGGAAGAGAAGGAGGAAGAAGAAGGAAAGGTAAAAAAATAGTTTGGGAAAATGGCATCATCATTTGGAAAATATCATTTATTTATTGTTTTTTAAACGAATCGAAAAAAAAACGAGGTAAAGAGTGAGAGAGAAAGGGGGGAGAGAAAGAGAAAAAGAGAGTGGAAAAAATAAAACGAAATGGAAAATGTGAGAAATGGAAAAAATAAATGTAAAATTGGATTAAATGAATTGACGTCATTCATTCTTTTCCCTTTTTTTTCTATACAAATTCGTAACAAACGAATTTTTTTTTTAAATAAATAAATAAAACAAACGGTTGTTGTTGTTGTTGTTCTTATCGTTATCGCACTCGAAATTTTCCCGCTTAAGTTATAAACATTCGGAAAAATATCGATCGTTTCCAAAATATACTCATATGATTTAACGTGAAGACAACATTCAGACTCCAATTTAAAAAAAAAAAGAAATGACCTTGAAACCTGAAACGACGACCTTGAAAAAATTTTGTCTCATCGATAATTTATTGTCTTCTTCAATTTCCACATTAAATTTCTCACGTAAATAATAATAATAATAATAATAATAATAGATAAATAAATAAAAAATCGATTTTTCGTAAATTTACGTTTAAAAAAAAAACAAATATGGCGTCGAAAAAATTTTCCTTTATAAACGAAAAATAATTACGATACATTCTTTTAGAAAATTCACTCTCTCTCTCTCTTTCTCTCTTTTTACAATATTCCCATTATACGCGATATAATATTTATGTAGTTTTTAAAACCTTTAAATAAAAAAAAAAATTCGCGGTAGGAAAAACAGCAGGAGAATAAGAAAAAAAGCAGAAACGCCACGAACCAAAAAAAAGAAAAGCAGACGATAAAAAAAAAGCGGGAAAAAAAAAAAAATTTTTATCGAGGTTAAATTTCCAAAAAAAAAAAAAGAGTGGGTGGATGAGTGAGTGGGATGCGGGGGTAAGAGGGAGAAGAGGGGGAAGACGGGGGAGGAAATTTAAAATCATTATTTAAAAAAATTTTTAAAAAACCCTTTTTATTATTATTATTATTAGATGAGGTAAAAAAAAGCTCTTACGTTCTTTATTAATATTAAAGTTAAAATTTAAGTAAATGTAACAAGAAAAAAAAAATCGAAGGAAAATTAAAAATCGATTTTCTTTTACAAAAAAAAATTTTTTACAACGAAAGGCGCGAAAAAAAAAATTAGAAAGAGAGAGAGAGAGATAAGACGCCATTTTGTTTCACCCCCACCATTAATTATTTATAAAAATTTAAATTTTAAGTAATGAAACATATTTTTCGTACCTTTTCTCTCTTCGTACCTGTTCGATCTCTCTTTTTTTCCACTTTCTTCGGCCTTTTTCTTTTGGCAGTTTTTTCTCCTTCCTTCCGACACTACCCTCTTCCCCACCTCCCCCCGCAGTAAAAGTATTTTCAACCTCTCTTAAAATTAAATTTATGAATTCAATTTATTTTAACTTTACCGATTATTAAATTTTATTTTTGAAGGAACTAATAACTGTTTTTATATTATGAACTGGAAACGATCGTAAATTTTATTATTATTATTATTATTATTATTATTATTATTATTATTATTATTATTATTATTATTATTATTATTATTATTATTAATAAGTTTATTAACAATTATTTTTAATAAAAAATTTTTTTAATAAATTTATTTTTTTAAAAAAAAGTTTTTCACGTGAAAAGCTATAAAATCTATAATGACCCATCATTATCATCATCGCCATCATCATAACCGCTGCCGCCGCTCCCTCCCCATTACCCCCCCGCCAGCATCGTAATAACCAACGAACCGTTAATAATAATAATAATAATAATAATAATAATAATTTAAATCGTTCGTTAAAGGTTATTAATATTTAATTATCGTCGTGACGCAAGAAATAAAATTTAATTGAGATTTATAACAATAAAAATTGTATTGTGCAGAATAATTTGAGCTTCAGTTTGAAAATTTCGTTTTTTTTAAACTTTTCCTCCTCCAACAAACAACAACTAACAACAAACACCAACTAACAACAAACAACCACGAGAACAAGTTAGTTAAAGGAAAAAAATTTTTTTTTAACGTTTTATTTAAGCCGATTTATTAGAAAAACGTTTCACTACCAGAAAACGCTTTTCGCCACCTCAATTCTTAAAAATTTTCTTTTTTTTTTTTTTTTTTAAATGTCAAAAACTAAATTGAATAAACAAAAAAATTTTTTTTCACTTAAATAAAGGAATAATAATTTCCTTTTTAATAAAAACCGGAAA